TAAATAATAAAATAGATTTTATAATGAAGAATTAATTATTAAATAAATCATCGAAAATATTTAATATATAAATGAAAATATATTGAATATTATTAAGAGAGAAGATAAGAAGATAAATAAATTATTTTAAACGAAAAATCAATAAAGAATGATTTAGATTTAATGAAATTAATAAATGAATATATTAATTCTGAATTCTCGATTATTTTGTTAATAATGAATTATTGAATATAAAACAGAATATTACATCACTAATAAATGAATTGATTTTCATTTAAACTCATTTATTATTTTACATATTATATTATTAAAATCAGATGATATATAATCAATATTAATTATAATGAACTTGGTAATATTTATATTGTTTTATGATCACTTTATAAAATGATGAAATATAATTTAATAAAATTATATTTACATAATATTGAATTAGAATTAACAAACAATGAATAACATACCACCAAAAAGAAAACCGATGAAATACTTTTATTTTTTTATCATAATTTTTTATATACTTCAAAATATCTTATTTTTCCGTTCTCTTAAAATATTACAGCCTAAATACTCTATCTCTAAATAAATAATAATTATATAAATAATTATATTTTACTGTTTTGCATTGAATAAAATCATTCAATACATTATTAATAAATGAATAAATTATGGTTATAATAATCAAAAAATAACAATAATGATGGATAATTTATATTAATATTAAATAATTAATATATTCATTTAATAATATATTTATATCATTATTATAACATTATACATCTCTTTCAATAACTTAATTTAGTATTATTTATTCAATTAAAAATAAAATCAGAATGAACAAAGTTAATTTTACAATAAAATATTTAAACATTTACAATTTTAAAATCTAAATCATTCTGATTATAAATTAATCAAATACAAATGAATAAACATTAAATGATTATTGATAATTTAATTGATACATTTATCATACCATATATATATCTTATTTCTATAAAGAATAGATGAGAATAAAAGAACAGAAATAAATAATATTTATAAGAAAATCATCGTAAATACAATGCAAACATATGCATTAGTTAGGTAATCTCTTAAATATATGATATTATTATATTATATAAAAATAGGGATATGAAACACTTATAGAAATAGAAATTTAGGCAAGAATAATTAAAGAAAACAAATTAACGACTCATAGTTTTATTAATTAAAACTATCTAAATTATAAATAAAATAATCTAGAAAGGTGGAATATGTTTAAATGAAATTGTCTTTAATTGGTAATTGATTTTTAATAACAATATCAAATAAACATGGAAAATATCAAAACGAATAAGAAAAAAAATAGTCATATTCATTTAAAGAAACAGTAATTATTATATATTTACTACTTCAATTTATTCTATTAACATAACTATTGTAGTCCTATATTTTATTTATTCATTCAATTAATAGATATAAATGATAAAATAATAACATGAAATAAAACAAAAAAAAATAAACACGAAGTAAATAATGAATTATGAAACAAATACAAACGAATATTAAAAAATTTTAAACATAAAAGAATATGCTTAAAATCAATTAAAGATAACTATTATTATTAATAAGACAAAAAAAAATAAATAGAAATAATAAAATGTTATTATGTAAATAATAAAAATGAAAAAAGATAAAAAAATATAAAAGGATGTTAATCATACAAACTAGTTTCTTAAAATATAGATTATCAGGTGATTTTTATTCATTTTATCATATTTCCCACCACCTTTTTTTTAACAGAATAAGGTACATACTAAAACACACAAAATATATTAATTTTTTATTTTCTAACTCTTCAATAATAGTAGTATCTATTTCTATACATTCTTTTGTGGTAATTTTTAATTAACAATACTATACAATTAATTGGCTTTTGTTTTTATGCTAACAAGAACCAAAACAAACAGAAAATTTCTGTTAAAACAATAAAATAAAATTTAAATAACACTAAGATAATTAATCTATTTTGATTTAATTATGCATCCTGTTCTTTAAACAAAAGGAATTTTTAATTGTTGTCAAGTTAGATAAGCTTGTTTCAAACTCTAATAAAAGTTATAGATGTAATTAACTTCAGAGGAATCTGTAATACCTAAACAATCACTATAATGGTCGTCTAACCACTACCTCTTAAATTTCTATTTCAGAGGAACAGTGAGCCACAGCCTGACTTCTTAAAAAGAAGTTTTACTTTTTGCAACTAAGGGAGAAAAAAAAAACATTTTTAGCAAAAAGTTTGTAAAGAATTTTTATAAAATAAATAGAAACACTGAATTAGAGAAAAAGAATTAATTTAACGAATGATTAGAAAACACTTGAAATATTTATTATTTAAATACTCTGTTGTATATTTTAAAAGAGAAATAACAAAAATAGAATTTTATTGAAAGAATAGAAAAATAAACCCTAGTTTTTTTAAATTCCTAAAACAAAAAGGACATGAAAAGACAGTCACTCTCTAATGGAAAACAAAGAAAAGTTGATGAAAAAGAAGAACGAATTGAAAAACCTTCTGCTCTTAAAGGATTTTTAATTCCTGTTACAAAATCTGGTAGTCCTATAAATGAAGAAATTAATGGTTCTACACCATCACCAAATATCCCAGAATCTCCTATGCCAGACAATAATCCTGGATCATTTGATCGTATGGATCCACCAGTCTCAGAATCAGCACAAGAAATGTTAAAAAAAAGAGGAATTAATAGTTTATTTCCAATTCAAGTATCTACTTACTCACCAATTTATTATCGTAAAGATGTTGTCGGAAAAGCACAAACTGGAAGTGGTAAAACTATTTCTTTTACACTTCCACTTATGGAAAGATTAAGAGCTGAAAATGAAAGAAAAGGAAAAAACCCAAGAGTTATTTGTTTATCACCAACACGAGAATTAGCTATTCAAATAGCAGAAGAGTTCACTCAATGTTCATGTGGAAAATTTAAAGTTATTTGTGTATATGGAGGTGTTGATATTCAGGGACAAATTAATAAATTACAAAGTGGAGTTGATGTGATTGTTGGAACTCCAGGAAGAGTTAGAGATCTTTTTGATAGACAATTCTTAAAATTAGATTCTATAGAAACAATTGTTCTCGACGAGGCTGATGAAATGTTAAATATTGGATTTAAAGAAGAAGTTACTCAAATTATGGATTTTGTTCATGGAAGTGTTCCAAAAGAGAGTACTGTTCAAACGTTATTGTTTAGTGCAACTATGCCAGCATGGGTTAAAGAAATTAGTGAAAAATATTTAAGAGATGATGCAGAAGTTATTGATGTTACAGTGGGAAATACTCAAGTTCCAAAGAATGCTAAACACCTTGCTTGTAGAATTTTTTATCAATCTAAAACACAAACTATTGCAGATCTTATTAGAGTATATGGTAGAACAGGAAGAACTATTGTTTTTTGTGATACTAAGGCTGAATGTACAGATTGTGCTATCGCTATTAATCCAATTTTTGAGTGCCAACAATTACATGGTGATATTCAACAAAAACAAAGAGAACAAACGTTGAATGGTTTTAGAGAAAATAAATTTAATGTATTAGTTGCTACTGATGTTGCTGCAAGAGGTCTTGATATTAGTGGTGTTGATTTAATCATTATGACTCATGTACCAAAAGATATTCCACAATATGTTCATAGGGCCGGTAGAACTGCTAGAGCAGGAAAGGAGGGAACTACGATTACTTTATTTACTAGGAAAGAACTTCCACAACTTCAGTTAATTGAAAATAGAATTAAAATTCATTTCCAAAGAATTGGAACTCCACAAAAGGCTCAAATTGCTGAAGTTACTTGTGGAAATTTACCAGAAGAAATTAAGGAAGTTCCTGATGCAACTGCTGAGTTATTCAGAGATATTTCTAAAAAATTATTAGAAACAGGAGATGCTGAAACTGTCTTATGTAAAGTAATTGCTTCATTGAGTACTGTCAGTAATGATGATTCTGATCGTTCACTCCTTCAAGGAGAGCCTGGTGTTAAAACTTTGTTTATGGAAACTAAAGGAACAACAACTGGATTTTCTGGTACCAAATTCCTTTTAGGTAAAACACTTGACCCATCTGAAATTGATAAATTGGGTGAGGTATATGTTTATAAAGATCACTTTGTCTTTTTTGATTTACCAACAAAAATTGCTAACAAGTTGTTAAAGTCTAAGTCAAAGTGGAGTAAAGCTATTGTTAATATCACTGTTCCTGCTTATTTCCCTGATGATGTTGGAATTGGAAATAGTAAAGATCCAAATGAAGAACGAGGAAGAAAAGATTCTGGAAGTTTGAGAAAGGATGGAGGAGATAGAAAAGGTTATGGAAATGATAGAAGAGATGGAGGAGACAGAAAAAAGTATGGAAATGATAGAAGAGATGGAGGGGAAAGAAGAAGAGATGGAAATGACAGAAAGAGAACTGAAAATGATAAAAAAAGTGGAAGAGATAGAAAACGATTTGGAAATAATAAAAATGAAGGAAATTCAAGTAGAAAAGGTCATATAACTTTTTAGAGAAAAAGGAAAAATATTGATTGAAAATGTTTTGAATGACGTTTAATATTTTTTTTTATGAAAAATGAAGCAGAAAAAGAGAAAGAACTAGAAATTAAGAGTTTTATGTCAACAACTGAAGAGCACATTAAAAAGATTATTATAAATCAAAACCAAAAGCCAATTGAATACCACAACACAAAAAAAGAAGGAGAGGTATATACTAAATCATGGGTACACTATCCATATTCTTACAAGGATACATTTAATAAATTAGATTCAGAGAAGATTAAACCATTTTGTAAAGGCAATGACAAATCGCTTCAAGAAATTTATTTAATAGTTAAAGGGATTAGTAGAACATTATTAAGTGAGATTAATGTATCAAGAATTAACTTACAAAATGAAAATAAGATAATTAGATTTGAATGTCTTATATGTGACATTTTAGAAACAGCAATTAAATATGAACATAGACTTCCTGAAATTACATTAGAAGATTTTGTTCTTAGTGATGAAAGAAATAAAGTTTATGCATATGGAGAACTATTTTATTTATTAAATCTTTATTCTGATAGTATTGAATGGTTCTTCATCGGTTTTGATCCAACAAAAAGTAATATTAAACCAATTAACTTAAATAATGTTTGTTTAAATTTACAAAGATTATTTGAATTGTGCAATGGAAAAGAGTCTAATTACAATGAAATTAAAATGTTTCTATTTGATTTACATCATATGAACTCTATCCAAAATATTCTTCAACATGAATATTATCAAAAAATTTATAATAGAAAACATGGAGTTAGAATAAATTCTAAAGATTTATTTTTCATTTCTATAAATGGAACAGAAGTTCCTTTTATAGACGTCATTAATTCAGAACCTATTAGTATGTCATCTAAAACTTTTTTAGAAGGAAAGGATAAGTCTTCTCGTATTCAAAGTGTTGGTAAAGGAGGAGCTGCATTTATTTTTAAAGGAAAGTTAAGAACTAAAGAAAATGAAATGGTAGATGTTTCAATTAAACTATTTAAAAATTTTAAAAATAATCTCTATGACACTAAATGGATTTTTAAAAGAGAAAAAGGAATGAGTTTTTTAGTTAATGACCAAATTAACATTCTTCCTGTTATTGGGATATTATGAAGATAAAGTTACAAAGAAATATTGGTTAATAAGAACTTTGGGCAGATACCACATTACAAGATGAATTACAAACTCCAAATTTTGAATTAGAAAATAATACAATAAAAGCACTAACATATATCATTGATATATTATCATGTGCAATTAATTTTAAAAATCTAAGTTGTTTTAATAGGGATTACAAATTAAATAATATCTTTATTAAATCGGGAAGAGCTCTTGTTGGTGATTTAGGTACTGCAATTGCTCTTTCTCCAACTAATCCTGGAGAAACCAAAATGTTCACTCCATGCATGCTTCCTTGCGACTGGGTTGAGGCTGAAGATAAAACAACTAATGATATTTATTCTATTGGAATAACACTATCTAACTTCTTAATGAACCAAACTAACACCGAAATACTACGAATTGAAGCTATTAAGTCAAAAGAAAAAGCTTTACTCTCTGAAAGTACTTTTGTTCAGCAACTATGTCTTGTTGTTAGTAATGTACAACCAAAAAATAATATCCCTTCAGAATTGAAAAACTATATCAAAGAATTCAAAGAGGCTCTTTTAAAGATGATGGCACCAAAATATGAAGAAAGAGCAAACTGGGATGACGTTCAAAAACTTTTAAATTTAACAAGAAAGACATATGAGTCTTTAACAAAGAAAAAATATGTACCTTCTGTTTCTAAAAAATTATTTACCTTAAAAGACGTTAGTAAGAGAGTCCTTCAATGGTATTCAAATTTATTAAACTCAAATGAAGATATTATAGAAAATAAATTCTTTGGATATTCTGAATTAGTTTCTAATATCGAACAGAATGAGCCAAATCAAGAAATGTTTGATTTAACATTGAGGCTTGTTGAAGACGTATTATTTGCTGCTAGTAAAAGAAGTGATAACAATTTAATGTTGGACTGCAAGGCAATCTTTGAAGTTCTTAAAGTATATCCATTCATTACAGACAAACAAAAGTCAATGGTTGAGTATCTTTCTTCACTTATAAATTGAAGAATGGTTGAAACTATTTTTAGATCTTCTCTAATCTAAGTTTGACAATTCTTTGATTATATCTTATTTATAACTTTTTTTTATATATAAATATACATTTTGATTCTTGTTTAAAAATCAAGCTCTTAAATTTCAAATAAAAAGAAAAAGAGTGAAAGTGAAGAAAATATTTTTATTATGTTAATTGTGATGGAAGATTAAAAAGAATGAATTTATGTTTTTGTTTTGTGATTAATGTGAAAATCAAATAATTATTTTGAATTCTTTTTCATTGAAAATTAATGTTTTGTTGTTTTAATTATTCTTAAATTTCATTTTAATGATGAAATATGAAATGATTATAAATTGATATTTGATAATTAATCTGTTATTTATTAAAATATTAATAATCAAAATGAAATGGTATTGAATTTAATATAATGATATATTCAAATAAATAGAAGATAAAATAAATATAATATCAGAATAAAACAATGAATAAACAACTAAATATAACAAGAATAAATAACAAGAAAAAATAAATTAAAAGAAGAAATAAAATATAAAAAAGAATAACAAATAAAAGAAATAACATAATTTAAATATTCAAAACATAAAAATAATCAAATATAATAAAAATAAATAAACAAAATAATATAAAACAAACATATCTATTAAACAACAATAAAATTAATAAATATTTCATTATTTCATTATTATTTAACCATTATTCATAATATTACCATCAAAAATGATTGTAATAATAATTTATTACAACATTAAATCAAATAATAAAATAAGTAATAAGAAATTGAACATCTTAAGTTTAATGATTAAATGAAAACATGACAAAACACAAGAAATAACCACAAATCATAACAAATTAATAAGAAACATAATTTGCATAATAAAATAATTAATAAAGAGATTTAATTTATAATAATTAAAACATAAATTGAAAGAAGATATAAAATAAAAACCAAAAGATAATAAACATAATATTCAAAATAATATATAATAAGAAGAAACAACATAAAATGAATATATAAAATGAATGAAGGAAAAAGAATTAACAAAGAAATAAATAAAAGTAAATAACAAAAACATAGATAAACAAATAATGATAAATACTATTTACAACAACCAAAATAATTTGAGAACGACTATAATTCATAAAATGATGTTTAATTTAAGACTTACTTGATCATAAAAGAAGTTCTAGAGTATTGTTTGAATAAAAAGAATAAGAAAAATAAAAAGCAATTAATTAAATGTTAATAGAATTGATTTCTATTATTCGTTATTCAGGGAAAATTAATCTTGTCAATGAGTCTTCGTCTTGTAGTTCCACAGAATATGCTTGGTTGTAGTAGAAATAATTTTCAATGACATCCATCGTGTTTTTAATTACAATGTTTTTAATTTCTTTAGTGGTGTCAATTTCGTTTTTTTAATTAATTTAATACTTTCGGTATTTACTAGACCGTTTATTGAAATTAATACTAAAATTATTTTGACAACCTTTATTTTTTTCTATTTTAATTATCATATTTTTCATTTCTATATACTTATTTCTTTTATCCAAATAGCCTCCATTAATATTATGATATGCGTCAATATTCATATCAAATAATAGACTAATTTTATTCTTTTTATTTATTATATATCTGGTCTTTTATGATATTGTCCATCATTTTTTGGTATTTTTTGTTTGTTCCATATCATAGTGATGTAATTGTGTTGGAACACTGTTTCATATGGGGATTTTTTATATTGTTTATTTCATGTATATTTTCTAATCATCTAATATAATAATACTAATGTTATTATGTTTCTCAATTTATGAAATTTTATGACAAGTACAAAATAATAGAATGTATTCTATTGTTGATATCTTTTATTTACAAAATGTACATCTTTAATCATTTATTTTTTAATTATTATCTTTTTTGTACCATTTGAATATTACCCACCTTATATTTTATTTAAATTGACAAGTGCATTCTTTTTAATATTAATTGACTTCCATACATTTATTGTAGTAGTTTTATCTATAAATTTTACCTCATTCCATCTTCTAAAATATCCACTTGTTTGATGGGATTTCCATTAAAAAGAATAAGAAAAATAAAAAGAAAATTAATAATTTATTGAAATTAAATATAAATTTAATATTTTAATGAAAAAAGAAAAAAATAATTTTGATAAATAAAAAAAATAAAAAGAATTGATTCGTTTTGTTAATGGTGGAAAACATTATTGGAACTACCCTTGATTCTGCTATAAGGTCATGTCAAAACCTTGTTCATACAAGGCATTGTCGTTCTGTTGGATATGGCCAAAAATCACTTATTTATCATTGCAAAACATGTTCAAAAAATGAGAGTGCTTGTTTATGTGCATTATGCTTTAATAGCAGCAACCATAAAGGTCATGACTATTCAATTACTGAAGTGTCAAATTTTACTTGTGATTGTGGAGATGAAACTCAATGGAAAGAAGAAGGGTTTTGTCCTCTTCATGGGAAATCATTTACAGGAAATTTAGTATCATTACTTCCAGCTGAGTATAAAGGGTTTCCTAAAAAAATGAAGCAGTGTATTAAAAAGTATGTGTTTGAATTAATAGGGGACAATATTACAGAAGTAGAAAAGATTGGTGATATTATTTTAAAATTAATGCGAGTTGATTTATTTTATTTAATTATTGCAGAGCTCTTAACAAAACAATTCTCCCCTTCATCGTCTATTCTCATTGAACAGTTTCATCAACAACAGATTACCTATCATGAATTTTTGTATGAAAAAATGTTTACATTATCAAAATTACCAACAACATTAACTCGAATTTTAACATCATTTCAAACTGATTTAACTTTGATTCATTTTGACCATGAAATAATTTATAAACTCTTTATTTATTCATTGGAGTATTCTCAGCATTTATTGAATGAAGTTTTTTGTAATACCTTTATCTTTC